CTGTGCTTATCTTAATAAGGGGATCATAATCATATTAATCATCGTAAGGGAAATGTCTATCTTTTCCACGAGTCTGTGAGTCACTGTTTAAAGTTACACCCCATCCCCTCCCCATTTCTCATTCCTTACTCTGCATTTTCTTTTTCTCTTGCACTTACCCCCCCCCCCCCCCCCCGTGCTTTTAAAAAAGATTTATTTATTTGAGAGATAGTTACAGAGAGAGAGAGAGAGAGATCTTGCACCTATTGGTTCACTCCCCAAAATAGCCACAGTTCCGGAGCTAGGCCGATCTGAATCCAGGAGTTTCTTCCAAATCTCCCACACAGGTGCAGGGGCCCAAGGACTTGGGCCATCTTCTACTGCTTTCCCAGGCCATAGCAGAGAGTTGGATCAGAAGAGGAGCAGCCGGGACTCAAACCACGTCCATATGCATCGCTGGTGCTGCCTATGATGCCACAGTGCCGGCCCCACACCCATCCCTTTGCTACATACTGTGTCATGTGTTAGATTTCTTATTTGTGCCCCGCGAGAACGTAGACTCCATTGGTGCAGACGTCTTCCTGTCTTTTGGGCTCTACAACAGTGTCTGTTACCGGGAAGGTGCTCGGCTGTTTGCAGAGGATCTGCATTCGTGCATCGGGCCTAGCCCACAGTAATTATTGAGCACGTTAAAGTGATGCTGAATAGTTCTGTTTCTTAAAATAATTTTTATTCGAACAGTTTACTCTGTTGAACTTTATAGAGGATGGCTGCCTCTTCCCTTGTCCAGTAAATACGATTAAAAACTTTTTAGAGTCTTCCTTTTGCGAGAGTCTGTTTTACTCTCTGCTGATGAGTTGGGATATCTCAGTCTGCCAGAAGTATTTCATACATTAGCCCCCTTTCTTGTATAGGCCCAAGCTCAACAACTAAACTATCTCACCAAAGTGCATGCTTTCAGAGTACGTAAAACTCCCATGTGCCCCTAGCAGCAGTTTTCAAACACTTTTGCACAAATGAACTTGAAAGAATTTTGTAAAACAATGTTTTTTTATTGACTCAGGAAAGCTTTCCTTATATGTTTAAGATAATTACATAGCATGTAATTTCTCAGCATTATACACATTGACATTTAAGGATTAAATTGCTTCATTATTCTTGTGTATGTATTTTGTATAATTTAAAGAAAGTAGTTCGTTACCCTCCATCATCTAAAATATTGAACAGGGACAGGAGTTGGGTGCAATTAAGATGCCACTTGGCGACTACTGCATCCCATTTCAGGGTTGCTGATTTGATTCCTGGCTCCCCTTCTGATCCAGCTTCCTGCTGTTGCACACCTTTGAAGGTAGCAGGCAATGGCTCAAGTACTTGGTCCCTGCTACTTACATAGGATATCCAGAATGAGCTCTGGGCTTCTGGCTTCGGCCTGTCCCAAAGCTGTTGTGGGCATTTGGGGAGTGAACCAGGAAATGGAAGATCTGTCTCTGTCTCTCTCTGTCTTTCACATAAATAAATTAAAAACAGAGAACAACAACAACAACAAAAAAACCCAAAACTAGTTCTGTAACCTTTTTCTTATTGAAGTTTTATTTTCATTCCACTTATCTTGTGGATTTTTATCATAATAAAAATATCTTAAAACTAGGAATTCTTAATAACTGTCTCATACTTAGGGGGACGCGTGTGGCACAAAGGGTTAAGCTGCCCCTTGGAATGCCCACATCCCATATTGGAGTGTCTGGTTTGAATCCCAGCTACTTTTCCTTCTAATCTAGCTTCTTGCTAATGCCCCTGGAAGGCAGCAGATGATGGCTGAAGTACTTGGGCCCCTGCCAACCATGAGAAAGGTCAGGATAGAGTTTCTGCCTCCTGGCTTTAGTATGACCCAGCCCGACTGTTGCAGGCATGTGGGGAATGAACCATTGTGTGGAAGATCCCTCCCTCCCTTGCCCCTCTCTGTTGCTCTGTCGTTTAGGTAGATGAAAATAATCCCATATGGGTGTGAGTCAAGTCCTGACTGCCCCACTTTGTGCCCTGCACTCTGCTAATGTGCTTGGGAAAGCAGTGGAGGGTGACCCAAGTGCTTATGCCCCTGCCATCCATGTGGGAGACCTGGATGAAGCTCCTGGCTCCTGGCTTTGCTTTGGCCCAACTATGGCTGTTGTCACCATTTGAAGAGTGAAACAATGGATAGAAGATCTCACTTTCTATGTCTCTGTCTCTGTGACTCTGCCTTTCAAATAAATAAATTTTATTTTAAAAATGTCAATTTAAATAAAAAAATTAAAATGCCTGTTACCATAGGGTTCTAAGTGTTAATTCAATCTGGAAGTAAATAAGATTTATCATTATAATTATTACCACATAATCCAAACCAAAATAATAGATTATTTTGGTAAATTATTAAAATAGAATAAATTATGAAAATGCATATTTTAACAAGTCGGTAAGAGTGTGATTTTATTCAATGAATTCTCCATACATGAATGAATATTGATTGTCGGATTGAGGATCCAGTATTAATTCTACTCCATATTTTTTATTGCGAGAAAGCACTTAAAAATCCTGTTCTTTTAAATAGGAAATAGGAATGGCAAGCATCCTGTTATTGCATTGTCATTTAATCCTTTGAAATGTTTTTCCTAAAATTATTTTTAATGACAACTGATTTGATCCTCTTATAATATTGTTGAAAGCAAAGAATTTGGTTTTCAGTTGTTGTCTATTCATTTTCTTTCTTTTTTTAAAAGATTTTTATGGATTTGAAGGGCAGCACTATGGGGGAGCAGTGGGGACTCACTGGTTCATTCCCCAAATGGCTGCAATGGTTGCAGCTGGGCGGATCTGAAGCCAGGAGCTTATGCCAAGTCTCCTACATAGGTGCAGGGGTCCAAGTACTTGGGCCATCTTCTGCTGCTTTCCCAAGCACATTAGTAGGAACCTGGATCAGAAGTGGAGTAGCTGGGACAGCAGCGTGGTGGCTTTACCCACTATGCCACAGATACCTGGATCTCAGTCCAGCCCTTTGATGAGAGGTTGGGAGTGAGCCGTGTTCAGGTGTGGGACTGGAGAAGGGGTATGTTCTTCATTTGTCAAGTGGGAGAAGGCAGATTTGAAAAGGGAACTTACGTCACAGAAAAGATTTCAGCAGATGGGTTTTAGGAAGGAATGCCTAGAAAACTGTTGCTTTGGAAGTGGATTTTTAAAAGATTATCTGGGTAGTAAAATTGGTATGAGGTTGACATTATTGAAGCTGAGTAGTAAGATTGGCAAAAGGTTGATAATTGTTGAACAGTGGGTATGTGAAAGCTTTCAACATTTTTAAATTTTTTTGAGAAGCACAGAGACACGCATGCACAATGGAGAGAGGCAGAGAGAGCACACACTCTCATTTGCTGGGTCACTCCCCAAATGCCTGCAGCCGCCAGGATCCCAGAACTCAGTGCGACTCTCACATGGACAGCAGGGACTCAAGCACTTGAGCTTCACCACTGCTGCTTCCGCGGGAGCCCCATTAGCAGGAAGTCAGAGTCAAGAGCTGGAGCCGGGTATCAGCCAGGTGCTCTGACAGAGGACATGGATCTCCTAGCCAGGGTCTTGACCACCTAGACTAGATTCCCACCCCGTCCCTTCTACTTCAGTGTGTTTTAATAGTCACATGATAAAAGTAAGACAAAAAAGTCCTCTGTGGAAAGGGTTCCTTTTGTTTGCCTTCTATTTGAGGTCTGTCATCTTTTGGAGTGACACCGTTAGTCATAGTGCCATTAACAAGGTCAGACCTTTAGACTGAGCCAAATGAAATTGTCACAAATTGTGTGTGTGTGTGTGTGTTTAAAAAATTTATTTATTTGAAAGGAGGAGTTAGAGAACAGGAGAGGGAGGGGGAGAGAGAGAGAGAGAGATCTTCCATCTGTTGATTCACTCCCCTAATTCCCAAATGGCTGGGTGCAGTGGCCTGGAGATGGGCCTGGCTGAAGCGATTAGCCAGGCACTCCATCTGGGTCTCCCACATGGGTAGTAGGACCACCTTCTACTGCTTTCCCAGGAGCATTAGCAGGGAGCTGGATCAGAAGCAGAATAGCCATGCCTTGAACTGGTGCTCATTTGGGATGTCTGCACTGCAAGTGGTGTCTTAACACACGTCACCACAATGCCGGTCTCCACTTTTTTTGACCTATAAATTTTTTATTAAAGATTTATTTATTTATTTGAAAGAATTACATAGAGAGAAAAGGAGAGGCAGAATTTATTTGAAAGAGTTATACACAGAGAGAAGGAGAGGCAGAGAGAGAGTGAGGTTTTCCATCCGTTGGTTCACTCCCCAATTGGCTGCAATGGCCAGAGCTGTGCTGATCTGAAGCCAGGAGCTTCTTCTGGGTCTCCCACATGGATACAGGGGCCCAAGGACTTGGGCCATCTTCCACTGCTTTCCCAGGCCATAGCAGAGAGCTGGATCAGAAGTAGAGCAGCCAGGACTCGAACTGGTGCCCATATGGGATGCTGGCCCTGCAGGCGGTGGCTTTACCAGCTAAGACACAGTGTCAGCTCCAACCTACAAAATTGAGAGTTCATAGTTCCACCTAACAATCTTTGATTGTATGCATTTTTTTCCTAAACCTCCTTATCAGTTTCATTTCACTTGCAACACAGCTGGATGGCTCAGGAAGAGTGGTTTTCATGCTCTTTCATTCCTCAAAGGCTATCCTTAATAGTTAAGATTTGTCCAAAAGAAGTTTAACATGCAGTCAGCACAGTGCTAGTTGCTGTATAGACCAAATTAACCAGGCAGCTGCTTCTTCCCCTTATTGTACTAAAGATTTAGGTTTTGCCAGTCTTTATTTTAAGTGTGGGGAAACAGATCAATTCATTTAGCGAGGTGCTGAGTGAACAGAAAGAAATGTTCAGGAGTAGACAGGTGGAGCTGTCACCCGGATAATAGCTGAGAAGTTGACATTGCTGAGAAGTTAATCTTCAAAGAGCTCTGAGCGAGTCTCATGTTTTTTATCTGTTTTATAAAGTCCTGAAATAACATGCCGGAGACAGATACTGTTGTTCCTGTTCTCTGCAGTGAGCCCGAGACTGGAATCTGGAGAAGTGAAGTGATGTGATCTGCCGCTGTGGGCCAGAAGCAGAATCAGGTTCTTGTGGGTTCTCGCGTGTACTCCATCCCCTAGACTAGTCATTCTTTTTTTTTTTTTAAAGATTTATTTTTTTTATTTATTTGAAAATCAAAGTTACATGCAGAGTGAAGGAGAGGCACAGAGAGAGAGAGAGAGAGAGAGAGAGGTCTTTCATCCGCTGGTTCACTCCCTGGTTGGCTGCAACGGCTGGATCTGTGCCGATCCGAAGCCAGGAGCCAGGAGCCAGGAGCCAGGAGCATCCTCCAGGTCTCCCACGTGGGTGCAGGGGCCCAAGGACTTGGGCCATCTTCTCCTGTTTTCCCAGGCCACAGCAGTGAGCTGGATTGGAATTGGAGCTGCTGGGACTTGAACTGGTGCCCATATGGGATGCTGGCACTGCAGGTGGTGCTTTACCCGCTAGGCCACAGCGTTGGTCCCAACCAGTCATTCTTACAGGGTGTTTTGGGGGTCCCTGAAGGTCCTTGAGTCCTTCACAATGCTCTGTGAGGTGAAAACTCTTTTTGTAATAATACTAATGTATTATATGCCTGCACTCTTCTCTCGTGAATGTACTGTGGAATTTGACGGAAGCTACATGATGTCTCATATTACAAGAAATTAAGGCAAAAGTAGGTTGGAGAATCTAGTTACTTTATATTAAGTCAGACCATAAAGAGATTTACAGTGATATAAAATGATGGCACTCTTTTTTCACTGTGTTTTTTTTTTTTTGGTAAATAGAGTTAAACTTTATAATTGTTATATTTAAATAACTTATTTTTTTGAAATTAAAAACATTTAGTTATTTATTTTCATTTTAATTTAGAAGGCAGAGAGACATAGGTCTTCCATTTGCTGGCTCACCCTGCTCATGCCTGCAACAGCCAGGTCAAAGCCAGGTCAAATCCAGGAACCCAGAACTCCCTCTAGGTCTCTCTTGTGGGTGTTAGGGACCTAAGTACCTTATTCATCATCTGCTGCCTCCTCGGATGTGCATTTGAGGGGAACTAGAGCAGAGGCAGAGTAGCTGGGCTTGAACCAGGCACCCTGACACTGAATGTCAGCGTCCTAAGCAGAGAATTCACCGCCAGTGTCACATGGCTGCTGAAGAAATTCTGTTTTTATTAGGACAAGAAAATCTGGCCTGGTTTAGAACTTTTAAGGCAAGTGATTGGCTTCACCTGAGTTTTGTAGGAGGGGCTTCCTTAGTGCAAAATATCTTCCCTCCCCTGGGTTACTCCTCAAATGCCCACAGCAGCTGGAACTGGGCATAGGCTGAAGCCAGGAAACTTGGTCCAGGTCTCTGATGTGGTGGCGTCATCCAGTTGCTTGCACCATCCTCTGCTGCCTCCCAGGGTCTGCACTGGTAAGAAGCTGGACTTGGGAGGCAGAGCTGGGAATCAAACCCAGGCACTCTGATGGGATACAGGTGTCTTAACCACCATGGCAAACACGTGCCCCTTTGCTTGTAATTTTTGATACATTTTGTGCATACAACCCAGATCACATTTAGTTAATAGACTTCATTTTATCTTTATGGGAAGATGCAGCATCACATAAAAGTAGAACTTTTCTGGAAAATCTAGGATGACATTTTTCAGATTTTTTGCTACCTGAGTAAAGAACTGATTTTACACCTTGAGCCTCGTACATCTATCTACACACATTAGTACAAGATACTACTACATGTAACTAGTCTCAAGTTTAATGGAACAGAACTGATTCTTTTGGATAGGCTCATTTCTATTCTGTTTTATACTACTCTCATGAAAAATATGGTGTTACAACTCACCAAATTTAAAAACAATACAGGGGCATGTTTTGGTGTAACAGGTAAAGCCACTGCCTGCAACGCCATATGGGAACTGGTTGAAGTCCCGGCTGCTCCACTTCCAATCCAGTTCTCTGGTAATGACCTGGGAGAAGCGACAGAAGATGGCCCAAGTGCTTGGGGCCCTGCAACCCAGGTGGGAGACCTGGAGGAAGCTCCTGGTTTTGGCCTGGCCCAGCCTTGGCCATTGTGGACACATTGAGCAGTGGGCCAGCGGATGGAAATCTCTCTCCCCGCCTCTCTGTTGCTCTCTCTCTGTAACTCTGACTTTTAAAAAAGAAACTAAAGACCATAAAGTAGGAAACATCTTACTGTACATAGGGCATAAGTGTCTTTTTTTGTGGGGAGGGGGCTCTATCAGATGGACTAACCCCCCAGGGGTGCTAGGGCATAAGTGCCTTTACAAGAAATTTAGGAGAACTGGGTTGAGTGTTGGTTCTCCCACTAATTACTTGTGTGATCTCTCTTTATTCTCTGCCTCTGTTGTTTGAGGATTGCCCTGCCAGGCCTTACACTGACTGACAGGTACAGCTCTTACCTCTTCGAAGACGGTATTCATGATATTAACAGTGATAGCTGCCACCTACTGAGACACTTAAGAAGACATTGTTTTAATGTAGTGCTGCTAGCTGCCGTTCACCGATGGCCTCTTACTAGCTAAATGTCACACATGTTTTTATTTCTCATGGCAGCTTGCTTTGAAACTGGTGTGATTCTCCTTTTAGCTGAGGAGACTGAGGCAGCATTTGTCAGTGAGGGAACCAGCATTCGACTGGGGGTGTGTCTGATTCCAGTATTTGTTCCCTTTCTCCTGAACTTTCTCCTGAACTGGTTTCTTTGTTAACCTTCCTGGGTTTCATCTTCCTTATTCTTTTTTTTTTTTTGACAGGTAGAGTTATAGACAGTGAGAGAGAGAGACAGAGAGAAAGGTCTTCCTTCCGTTGCTTCACTCCCCAAATGGCCGCTACAGCCGGTGCTGCGCCGATAGGAAGCCAGGAGCCAGGTGCTTCCTCCTGGTCTCCCATGTGGGTGCAGGGGCCCGAGGATCTGGGCCATCCTCCACTGCTTTCCCAGGCCACAGCAGAGAGCTGGATTGGAAGTGGAGCAGCTGGACTTGAACCGGTGCCCATATGGAATGCTGGCGCTGCAGGCAGAGGCTTAACCTTCTAGGCCACAGTGCCAGCCCCTTGTATGCTGTCTTTATGAAATGGGACAGATGCTTATACTCCATGGCTGTAGTCCAGATAGTTAGCAGATACTGTGGCCTTCGTAAAGGATATTCATGAGAACAGCCCATTAATTAAATGGGAAATGGAGAGATTTGGTCCTTGTATATATCCATTTTTAAATGGAGATGTGTTGTTGTGTGCATGTATATTAGTTGTAGTAGTAATAGCAGCAACAGCAGCACCAAAGTCATAAACAGATTCTAATACTTTACAGCCTAAATAATTTGCCCTATTCTTAATTTTCAGCTGATAGTGGACACAGGTCAGGTGTAATAAAGTAGCTTTTTTGTTCAGCTAAGTTTTTGTTACATAGATGATGTTATTGATGAATGTCATGAAGAAGTAATGTACAGATCACTTTATGGCTACTAATTGTTAATGGGTTTGAAAGCACATGAAATGCTAAGAATGGAGGCCTGGTAACCACCAGCATTCTTCTTACTCTTGTTCTTTTTAAGAGCAATAGTAATGTCATGAACAACTTCTCGGAAGTGGCTCTCTGATAATCCATCCGTATGGTTGGGCATCAGCTATCTCAACACTGATATTCACCTAGTGATTCATATAAATATAACTTAGGTTAAATAGTTGAGTCTGGTTTAGGAGTCAGAATAGTATATGATATTTGAACCAATTCCAGCAGGGATTTAAAACCTCTTATTGAAGATTGTTTTAATATAAACTTTAGTGAAAGGAGCAGTGATCTTGTAGCCTACAAGACACTGAATAGGGTCTCTGTTTCTTGCAAGTTGTATACTTTTGAGCAAATCCTGTGTCCTTGTTGCAAATCAGATTCCTCAACATAGTTAGCTTAACTAGGATCATTAAATGAAACAATGCATTTTCAGAGTCGTTAAAAACTTCTGGGTACCATGCAAATATAAAGCAACATCCTTTCTGGTTTCAAATGCTAGGGTACTGTTTAGTTTAGAGAGTATTCTGACCCCAGTTAGTGTTTGTAGGATATTTGTTTGTTTAGGTTCCTCAATGGCAAGTATAAGGTTAAGTCTCACGAAGAATGTGTTTTAAAAGTCTGAGTGCGTGTGTGCATCTGACAGCAGTGCTGCTCCGTTCAGTGTAGTGAAGTACTCGTCAGAGTTTCCACTGTAAACTCCCCTTAGCTTGGTTTTCCTGAGGGATAAAATTAGTCTGAATGTTTTTGGTTGGAAACTTTTTTCTTTTTAATAGAGAATGAATGCCTGCCCTGCTATTAAAAATGGTCTTTTCTTAGATTTTATAGCAGTTTATCATAAATGTTTTAAAAACCACATATGTAGTTTCTCTTTCTTATATCATTAAATATAAGATACAAGAGCATTTTCCTTGGCTCTAGTAGATTTTCTTTTAAAATTATCATAGTCTTCAATTTATTACCCAGGTTGAAATATTATAAATATCTTTTGTAAACTAATTGTAAGGTATAAAGAACTTAAATTTAAAAAAAAAAATTTTAGATTTTATTTATTTACTTGAGAGGCAGAGTTAGAGAGGTGGAGACAGAGAGAGAGGTCTTCCATCTGCTGAATCACTCCCTAGATGGCCTTAACAGCTGGAGCTGGGCTGATCCGAAGCCAGGAGCCAGGAGCTTCTTCCTGGTCTCCTATGCAGGTACAGGGGCCCAAATACTTGGGCCATCTTCCACTGCTTTCCCAGGCCACAGCAGAGAGCTGGATTGGAAGAGGAGCAGCCAGGATATGAATCAGCACCCATATGAATTGCTGGTGCTGCAGGCAGAGGCTTAGCTCACTATGCCACAGCACTGACCCCAGAACTTTTTTTTTTACTATGTAAATATACTTCTGAATACACATCCCAAGTTAAGAAAAAATAAACTGCTGTAATTTATAAGCCTCCTTAGATGTAGGTAAAAGTGTCCATTGGTCTTTGTTTTAAATATCAGGAAAATGTCTTAGAGACAGGCCATAGTCCCACTTGTAACAGGTGTCATGTGTGCTGTA